CTCTCTCTCTCTCTCTCTTAATCACACACACACACACGCGACACCAATCAATCAATCAATCAATCACTCTCTCCACAGATCGCACCGTATATTGCGCCCTCCGTGAGCGCAGTTTCTTTACAAGATCACTGGGAATGTTGAACGGCTCTTCGACGACGACCTCCGACATCTCTCTCTCTCTCTCTCTCTCTCTCTCTCTCTCTCTCTCTCTCTCTCTCTCTCTCTCTCTCTCTGTGTGTGTGTGCGTTTCTTGGTTTTATTACTTTATCGATTATGGAGCAGCTGACAACACCAAGCGAAAAAAAAGCTTGACGCGGAGAGGAATTGTTCCTTGACGATGGTAAAGAGGGAAGCGCATGATGGTGATATAGAAATCGGAAGTGTTGCAATGGCACTGAAAATGTGCGAAAATGACATGATCCTTTTTTTGCGCCCAAGGGTCTCTCTCTCTCTCTCTCTCTCTCTCTCTCTCTCTCTCTCTCTCTCTCTCTCTCTCTCTCTCTCTCTCTCTCTCTTTCTCAAGATTAAAATATATTAATATATCCAATGACCTAGCTCAGTTGATAAGGCACGCAAGTGGCATTCAGCACGTCTTGGGTTCAATCTTCCTGGGCAGGCTTCCCGGCCGCCACCTAGAGATAGACCGTTGTCCCCCCAATTGGCATGAAAAAGCAGTCCATGCCAAGCCCTTTTCCCTGCTTGCGAGCCGCTTGATTGGCGGCCGTGAAAAAGACAGATCTGCTAGAAAAGAGATGACGGATCTGCGGTGAAGGGACAAAAAAAAAAAAAAAAAAAACCTTTTTCCCGTTTGCGAGCCGCTTGATTGGCGAGCGTGAAGAAGGCAGATCTTTGCCCCGTTTGCGATTTGCTTGATTGGCGGGCGTGAAAAAGACAGATCTGCTAGTAAAGAGATGACGGATCTGCGGGAAGCGACGAAAAAAAAAAAAAAAAGGTGACAACCCCTCAATCTCTCCACCCCCTTAATCTCCCCAACAACCCCTCAATCTCTCCACCCTCTTAATCTCCCCAACCCCTCCATCTCTCCACCCTCTTTATCTCGCCAACCCCTCAATCTCTCCATCCTCTTAATCTCCCCAACCCCTCAATCTCCCCGCCTTTCCCGTCGTTCTTCCCCCTCAATCTCCCCTCCTCTCCCGACAATCTCTCCTTCCCTCAATCTCCCCTCCTTTCAATCTCCTCGCTCCTCAGTAACAGGCCCTCGTTTGTTGTCCTCTTCTCCCTCTTTTGTCTAAGGTTCACGTGGCAAGTCTGTTTGACGATAACTTGTCATCGACGTGGCTGGCCTTGTATGTAAGAGGTAATGAACAGGTGGCGTTTTCCTTCCTTACCGAGTGCAAGATAAGGAAAAGATTCGGTCGTTTGTGTGGTTAAGATAGAAGAACAGCCAGCCTCGTGAGGCCACGTACAGTCTGACTATCTCATCCGACCTCATGCACAGACACAGAGAGAGAGAGAGAGATGTGGCGAAAGGTACTCGACTTCTTTCCGCGTCTCTCTCTCTCTCGAATATGAAAGTCCGATGAAACAGTCTGTTCGGCACAGTCATGCTTTTGCCTTACAGTGATCAGCGCGAAACTCACTAGAGGTAAACGATATATATATATATATATATTTTTCTCTCTCTCTGCCTACGTTTTACCGGTATAACCGAAGAAGAGATGGAGAAATTGTTCAAGCGCTTCCATGGTTAGTCGGCGGTGAAGCTCGGACGCAACGAGCTCAAATCGGTACGACAGAGCAATTGTTTTCTCCCTCCCTCCCTCCCTTCCTCCCTCCCTCATCCAACACAGTTGTTTCTCTTTGTACAACTTCCCAATCTTGGAACGGAAACGATTGACTTCGTTTTTTTTTTTTTTTTTTTTTTTTTTTTCCGGGTAATGAATCTCCGCTGCTTTCATTGGGCTTCAGGACCAACTCTCACGTAATTACCGCGCACCGCGCAAGTGCAACCTCAGAAAAGTGTGCAGGGTACCGTCTTCTCGAGACTTCCCCCGAATAGAACTCTCGATAGTTATAGCTGCGTAACCCCTGCATTTGGGGCAACTTAACTTTCAGGTGTGCCAGTTCTTTGTGGCTTCCTTGTGGCTCAAGGAACTCTGCCATCATCGTTTCTGATTCCTTGTTTTATTGGTTAGCTGAGTCATTTCTATTTCTTCTCGTTGTTCTTTCCTCCGTCTGTTTGTCGCTCCTTGTTTCTCTCCCTTTCTCTCCCTTTCTCTCGATCTCTCGTTCTCTCTGTCTTCTCTCTTTCTGTCTTTTTCTTTCTTGCCGTCTTTCTTTTTTTTTTCGCTCTCTATAACCCTATGTCCTTGCCATTCTCTACCATTTTCCCCCAAACACAACGCACCCTGATTACGAATGTATACAAGGAGGCTTTCTGGTTCCATACAACCGAAATTAGGGTTCGTTGTGTTCGAGGGAAGACGGTAGTGTCTCATTCTCTCTTTTATCTCTGTTTTTTTCCCTTTTTTTTTTTCCTCTCTGTCTGTCTGTTTCTCTTGCTTTCTTCTCTGATTTCCGTTTTTCTTTCGGTCTCTCTCTCTCTCTCTCTCTCTTCGTTTTTCTTTCCGTCCTAGTCTCTCTGCCTATCTTTCGCTCTCTCTGTTGAAACACAAATTTGAGTTCCACCTCCACATGGGATCAGTTGAGTAATTACTGTACACATTGTACGAACGAACATGCCAAAAATCTTCGGTGGCTTCACAAACACATCGACGTACCCCACCGCTCACCCCTCTACCTTATCTTCAATCTTTTTCCATCGGTCTTTCTTTTTTTCCAGTTCTCTTTCTCCTATGTCTATGCCTGTCTTTCCTTGTCTTTAGGTCTCTATGTCCATCTTTATCCATGACTCTTTCTCCTGTCTCTATGATTGTCTCCCACTTTCTATTTCTCTATCCCAATCGCATCTTATTTTTGCACCTTCCAGCCATACATTCGATTCACCCGCACAGACAACGACAGACACTCGTTCATATCGGCTACGAAGATGAAACGCCAAACTTCAGAAACGCCTCTCTCTCTCTCTCTCATCCTCTCTCTCTCAAACTTTCATCCATACATTCGATCCACCATTCGATCCACCTGGACAGACAAGGACAGACAGTCGTTCATAACGGCTACGAAGATAAATCTTTCTCTCTCTCTCTCTCTCTCTCTCTCTCTCTCTCTCTCTAAGACACACAGACACACACACACATCCACCCGTTCATCCATCTATTCACCCATTCATTCGTTCATCCATCCCATTCATCCATACCTCTAGCCAGCCTACCATTCACTCATTCATCCATCCACT